ACAATGATTCGTCCGAAATGGCTCGAAATACTCGGAATTGACTCGAATTTCTTTTCATCCTCGAAATAGACCTGAAAATATATCAAAAGCACGGACAAGTACGCCAAGATAAAACGAAAAACACAAAAACACTTGGAAAGCGACAAAATGGACCGGACGACACTAAAACGAACCTAAAAATGACTCGATAACACATATAAACACATGAAAAGAAGCACAAAAACATAACAAACAAAAGGACATGTGTGTATACACCTCAGCAGAACGGTGTAGTTGAAAGAAAGCACAAGCAACTTTTGGAAATTGCAAGAGGACTGATGTTTCAGTCAAACATAGACATGAGCTATTGGCCTTATGCAATACTCACAGCAGCACACATAATAAACAGGCTACCTAGTGTGACTTTACAAGGAGAAACTCCATTTCAGAGAGTGTATAGTGAGGCACCAGATTATCATAGACTTAAACCCTTTGGGTGCTTGGCTTATGCAGTTAACACAACTCCAAATAAAGGAAAATTTGATCAGAGATCTTACAAGTGTGTGTTTCTTGGCTATGCAAGAGCATGCAAAGGATACATTCCATGTGACATCAACCAAGGAAGGATATTTGTGTCCAGAGATGCAGTGTTTCTCCCAGAAGCATTTCTTTATCAGCAGACAAAGGAAGAAGTTGACTCTAACACACCTCTACCTTTGATCAGAGATGAACCAGATGCAAATGAAACCATGGAAAGAGAGGAAGACAATGAGCAGGTTGCACAACCTGATGGGAAAAAAGTTAGAAAACCACCTGCTTGGATGAAAGACTATGTTTGTCCCACCATTGAAGCTCAAGATACTCAGGGAGATGCAGCATTCGTGACAAATATTACATCTCAGCATGAACCAACACATTATAATCAGGCAAGGAATGAAGAGATGTGGGTCATTGCAATGAACCAAGAGCTGAAAGCTTTGGAAGACAACCACACTTGGGAACTGGCTTATTTACCTCCTGGGAAGAAAGCCAAATTCCAAGTGGGTATATAAAATAAAGAGAAGAGCTGATGGCAGTGTGGAAAGGTACAAAGCTAGATTGGTGGCAAAAGGATTTACATAAGTGGCACGAGTGGATTATTTTGATGTGTTCTCACCGGTGGCAAAGTTAGTTACAGTTCGAATGCTCATTGCTATAGCTGCACTGAAAGGTTGGAGTATATGGCAGCTTGATGTCAATAATGCCTTTCTCCATGGCAATCTAACTGAGGAAGTGTACATGAATATTCTTCAAGGTTATAATAAAGGGAAGGATGGACAAGTCTGTAAGTTGATAAAGAGCCTTTATGGGTTGAAGCAAGCTTCTAGAGAGTGGAATTGTGAGCTCTCTAAAAGGCTGTTGGATTTTGGCTTGATTCAATCTCCACAAGATCACTGTCTTTTCACACAACATAAAGAAGGTCAGTTTCTTGCCATGTTAGTATATGTAGATGATGTCTTAGTGATGGCTTCTGATTTTGGCCTAGTAAGTGCTTTAAAGCAGTGTTTGCATGAATTATTCACCATAAAGGACCTTGGACTAGCAAAATATTTCCTGGGAATTGAAATTTCAAGAACTGCAGAAGGGATACACTTGTGTCAGCAAAAATATATTCATGATTTGTTAACTGACCTGGGAATGGAAACCTGTAGAGCAAACAATACTCCCTTGCCTCAAGGTCTTAGGCTAACATGTTATGATGGTCATCCTCTTGAAGAGCCAAACAAGTAAAGAAGGTTGATAGAGAGACTGCTCTATTTGAACTTGTCTAGACCAGATATAAGCTATGCTGTCAACCAACTTAGCCAATTTGTGAATAATCCCTTTACTGAGCATTGGGATGCAGTTGTTTCTGTACTAAAATATCTCAAGGGAACTCCATCACTTGGTCTGTGTTTCAACTCAAATTCAGACACTACTTTGGCTGCCTTTTGTGATGCAGACTGGGCCACTTGCAAGGACACTCGTCGGTCGGTTACGGGTTACTGTGTTTTTCTTGGCACTGTCTCATTTCTTGGAAGAGTAAAAAGCAGGTTACAGTGGCACGGTCATCAGCTGAGGCAGAATACCGGGCCATGGGCACAACAGTGTGTGAATTACAGTGGATTAATGCTTTGGTGAAGGAATTTCAGTTTCAACCATCTTTGCCTATCACCTTGTGGTGTGACAACAATGCTGCGATGCACATTGCAGCCAACCCCGTCTTTCACGAGAGAACCAAACATTTGGAGATTGACTGCCATATCGTGCGCGATCAATACAAGTCAGGATTCATTAAGCCATCTTATGTGCACTCTTCGGCTCAACTGGCTGACTTCTTCATAAAACTCCTACCTGCTGCTACCTTTCATCGTCTATTGTGCAAGCTGGGTGTGTGCGAGACTCCCCACACTCCATCTTGAGGAGGGGGTGTTGAAGATCATGCGTGTGTGCATGATATAGTTCTAGCAAATGTATTGAAATAGCAGTCATAACTGCATGACTCTTTTCCTTTTATTTTTCTTTTCTTTGGTTAAAAACGTATTTACGTTTTAATAAGTGGGAACGACGTCGTCTTGGTTCCTATCACTTGGCTTACTGGACGACGTCGTTTGGAAACTGCATGGTATTATAAATGCAGCTTGCATGTACGGATTCTAGGTGTGAAATGAAAACAAAAGTTTGTCTCTTAGCTCGTTTTATCACACATAATACAAAAATTCGTTTAATTAAATTACCTCACACAAAAATTCGTATTATACAATCCCTTAAGACAAGTTGGCAATTTGTGTGGTTTCATTTTTCAAGCACATGGTGGAGAAATGTGATCCCTGTAAATTGCCTCTACATTTTCTTGGAAGAGCGGCGTCTTGTCTTCTGGAATTGTTGACACTTGACATTAACACTTTATCTCGGTCCCCATTAATTAGGTTTATGCATGCTACAGCCAATTTACTAATTGTTCCAAATTGAAAACCAACCGTTAATTGGAAGACCTTTTAGATGGACGAGCAGATCTATGAGGTCTCACATTTCTACATTAGTTTATATATATATAATTATTTATTTCACTATACAATATTACAATTATGTATTGTTGGTATATATGTCCTAAAAACAATTAATTTGGGTTTTAGGACAAATGTACTTGATGACATTCGTATTATATTTGATGATATTCATGATAATGTGATTATATTTGATGATATTCATGATTTTGCATTAATTAATGAATTCTTTTGATTGTCTATAATTTATTGATTAATTTGCTCTAGTGAGTTAATAGTGTCATTGACATAGTGATATGTTAATTAATAAAGTAGTTGAAATACAATTTGGCCTCGATTAACAAAAATGTTACACGTGAATATATATTAATTGTCTTATTTTATTAAGGCTAAAAAATATCTGCCCGAAATAGTCTGCTCGACTGCCTGCGGGCAGCCTGCCTGACTCTCCGAGCTTGATCTTATCTATTTAGTGCTTATCCATATCCTAATACTTTCCTAGTCACCCTTAGATTCATCTTATCCTACCGAGATTCCTTATTATCCTTAACATATGTTGTTCGATGTCGTGGCTATTCTTTTAGTCATCTATTTCATAGCTCGGTCATCGAGGTTCAACTATATTGGTTTCTCTGGTTGTTTAGGTCATCGGGGACATTCCAGGTCGTCCGAGGTCCAGGTCGCCTAAGGGTAAGGATCGTTGGTACCCGATCCCCATAACCTCTAGGTCGAATAGGTCGCTCTACAATCCGGTCGAACTCCCTATACATTGTAATATTTTCAGTTCACACACTTAGGGCTATATCACTATCATATTAAAAAAAATGATTATTTTTATTTTTATAGTATGGCCTCGTTTACTTCGTTTGACAAGACATGATAAGTAAAATATCCATTTGTATCTAATGTTTACATTAAGGGAATGGGACAATATTTAAGTGATGTGGCGTACATGTGGCTGCGGGTCCTACACACATATCAACTAATGCCCGATTAATTTTGTCTCAGGGTGACCTCGGGATATTTTTATCTCGACTTTTAGCTTACCATTTTGTCCTAAAAATGCTTGAGAAAAGACTTAAATGCCCTTGAACATCCATTTAATTACAACAACAATTGAAATATTAAAACCTCATTGTGTAATTGTGTTATTGTTTTTGAAGAATTTGCATCGGTGTGTTATTGTGTTGGAAGAATTCGGCTGGGACATTTGTTGTTGGTTTGAATTTCGGTCAGTGCGGCCTGTTGTCGGGGCCAACGTCTCGTCCTCGCTCACTCCTCCGCAGAATTAGGGCTCCCTATTGAAGAAAAAAAACGAGATGCGAGAAAATTAAATCGGCAAAGAACAAAATCTACAGAAGTGTAAAGTGGTATTTTATTGTGTTATCATCTAATCTAATTTAATGAAGTAAATGAGGGATTCGTTTCTCAAAATTCCATCTCACAAAGTAAACAAATGACTAATTATTGATGTGTACAGTTGTCCTGGTTATTTTAGTTTATCCCATCAAGTAAATGAGACCTAAGTAGATAAGAGGATACCCCAAACAAACATTTTGACATTATATATAACAATCACATGAGCACAATTCACCATATTAAAGCCACCTTTCTCACAGCTAACCACATGAACTCCAAACTCCTACCAACCCCAAAATAACACATGTTCCATTTCTCCGGCCCGTTTATTACACAACACGCGGCCCGTTACTCTCAAATCGGGATCGGTACGGCCCGAAGCGGCTGGGCCTTTTGCAGTGTGATCCCGAACTTCTCTGCCATGTCCAAGTCCCCAGGCCCCGCCCCGCCCGGCAGCTTCCAGTCGAACGAGTTCAACAGCGAGCCCAGCATCACGGGCACCATCCTAACTGCCAACGGCAGGCCCGGGCAGATCCTCCGGCCAGCCCCGAACGGAATCAGCTCGAAATCCCTCCCCCGCATGTCCAGCTCCGACTCCAAGAACCTCTCGGGCTTGAACTCTAGCGGGTCAGCCCACACATCCGGGTCCCGCCCGATGGCCCACGCATTCACAAACACCTGTGAGTTCTTGGGCACGGTGTAGCCGCAGACAACTACATCCTGCTCGACCCGTCGGGGGATGAGGAAAGGGACTGGCGGGTGGATGCGGAGTGTTTCCTTCACGAAGCACCGGAGATAGGGCAGTCGTTGGATGTCGGCTTCTTCCAGCACCTTGCCCTTCCCGATCACCTGCTCCAGCTCTTTTTGGGCCGCCTTCATTTTGTCCGGGTTCTTTAGGGCTTCTGCCATGGCCCATTCCAATGTGCTCGATGTTGTATCCGTCCCGGCCACGAAAAGGTCCTGTCCAGACACAATATGAAGAGTGATTAATTTTGTTTTGAAAATATTTGTGGGACAAAATATCATGGAACATAAAGTTAGAAGTGTTGAATAGCTTATATAAATCGAGCACAATATACTAATTAATTGTGTAGAACATAAAGTTTGATTAATTAATGGATGTTTTATGCATTTCTAAAAGTCATTGTGCATCTCATAGCAATTTTGACTATTTGAGTAAAAACAAAAGAAAATACTATAGTCCGGTTACAGAATCATTCCGTCGAGAGTTTTGACCTTTATCATCATGTAGTTAGTATACAATAGATGATCCAACGGTTAAAACTCCCAACATCATGGTTCCGTAATGGGACCATATATACTAGTGATGATTGACAAGCGAATTAACTAATTCGATTTGAAATCTAAACTACTATCCCATCTCACTATATATACAGGGCAATATGTAGAGTTTCCTGCTTTTCTATTTTGAATTTACCTAAAAGGCTAAAAACATCAAAATTCAAATTTAGAAAGGAGAATGAGTAATCTAAAGACTGAACAAATAATTGATTATGAGGACAAACCAGACAGAGGCGTTCAATGTGAGTCCGGTCGATCTCGTCGGGAGTGTCTTTGCTTGCCGCAAGCAGGACATCGATGACGTCACTGTTCTGCGACGGTTTCCCCTTCTGCAACCTCTCATTAATCAAGCCGCTGAACAAATCGATGACCTTCCCGAAATGTACGGTCATATGGCGGCGCACCCCTTGCGGGTCGACTTTCCTCAGCATTGGGAAAAAATCGACGAGGTTGGGCTTGCCGGCCTCGACCATGATGCTCCAGACGAGGTCCTTGAACTCCTTGGCGGAGTCGGAGAAAGGGTCGGTGAGGTCCTTGGAGAATATGGTGTTGGAGAGGAGGTTGAGCGAGGTCCGGAAGGCGGCCCGGCCGACGTCGACGGGGTCGCCGGCCTGGCTGCTCTTCCGGCAGTAGGCGACTAGCTCCTGCACCTTGCGGCAGCGGAGGTGCTGGTTGGCATCGAGGCGGCTGCCGGAGAACATGTTGGAGTTGAGGGCCTTGCGGAGGCTTCGCCAGCGGGAGGCGACAGGGAGCCAGACGACGGAGTATTTGAACTGGTCGTGGGCGTGGATGGCGTCGGGGACCGTGCGGCTGGAGAACTGGAGGTCCTGCTTCTGGAGGATCTCGCGAGCCATGGCGGCGGAGGAGGCCACGACGGTGTTGACGAAGCCGAGGCGGATGCACATGAGGGGACCGTGGGATTTTGCGAGACGGGCGAGGGAGTGGTGGGGGAGGTCGCCCAGGAGGTGGAGGCTGCCGATGAGGGGGAGAGGGGTGGGGCCGGGGGGGAGGTTGCGGCGGCGGGCGGAGAGGGTCTGGACGGCGTGGAGGAGGGTGACGGCGAATAGGAGGCCGAGGATTACGGTGAGGAAATCCATGGGTGGGTGTGGGTGTGGGTGTGGGTGTGGGGGTGTGGGCGTGGGGTGTGTTCGTTTATAGGTCATGGGGAGCTCGAGGGGCGCGTGATGATTATTTTTAATGATTAATAGAAATAGGGGGCGCGGAAAATGACAAGATTTTTATATTATTATTGTTGTTATTGTTGTTTGTTCCCTTTGGTACGGGGAAATGAAAATACTGGATGATAAGATTAATTTGAGTGGCAAATCTTTGTTTCGGTGATAATTGTGCGGCTTGCGTTAATGTGTATTAAATTTTAGGTGACCTGTTCATATTATGAAGTCTGAGATCTCGAACACACAAAGAGTACTGTCCCATTCATTAATTAAATTTGTCGCCAATTCTGAACATTGGGTTAGTCCGCATCACAATTGCGGATAAATTAATTTGCCATACTTTTTAGTATGTTTTGTTATATAGCACAGAGACTAGAGAGCTTGATTTGAGTTAGAGCCCGGTGCAGAACCCTCAAGCTCAATTTATCTACAAGGAGATCGAGTAGGTCGGGTTGAAACCCGAGAGAGTTGGGTTGATTTATCGACCTGTAACTTGCTTAACCTAAGACACTATTGATCGAGCTTGAGCACTAGTGGAGTTGTGGCAGTTCTATAGGATGATTTTGGGTCGACCTATATAGGTTATTGGGCAGTAAGATTGGGCAACAAGGTACATAATTCATGGGCATCATGATATTCTTGAGAAACAAGGTAATCATTTTTGTATATAAGATGTATGGTATGATGATAGGATCTTTCCTTTTTAGGTTGCCATTATTTTCTGAATATTCACATCATAAGACTGACTTGATCGTCAGAGTATCTGCATCGGGGACCCTCTCGACGCTTTTTCAAGTACTAGGTGAGAAGGTCAAGGGGATTTTGAGATCCAAAGTAGGCAAGTCATCCAAAAATGCTTGAGTCGTTTAGGCCACCTTTATCCGTGACCCNNNTGTAATGTCACGAGGTCGGATATCAATGACTGTGAAGACATAGCTCACGGGGATAAGGATTGTGACGATACTTTGTTGTAGATGCGACCTCTCGGGTCGGGACCGCCTTTTGGGGTGGCTCGTTAGTAAGAAGTCGCCGAGAACCCCGTTAACGAGGTCCCAATTCTTCAGGCGATTTCGGTTTGAATC